AAGAATTTAGTCTATTCCTAAGTGATGTGTTGTTCGATTTTGTGTAGTTAAAACAACAATGACAGAAACTGGCCCGGCAGTTTCATACAAAGACTCAAAGTCAACACAATCAGAAGTTGATAAAGAAACTACAAGTGAAAAAAAAGTTGCAACCACAAAAAGTTCTCTAGATGTGGAGGTAAGGATTGGGCCGACTTACACAAGGCGTAAAAAAAAATACCTGTGGTTCCGGTTCCCGACCGACCCTATTTTTTTTCTGCCGACCCTATTATTTTTTCAGCGCGATTGACCGTACGACCTTATTTTCTCCAGGTGGTTGCGGGCTGCTCGTACAGTGTGCCAAAATGGCGTCTGTTGTCACACTAATTATTGAACCAAATTGCCTAACTTCGTCCATAGGAAATACGCATCTCTAGTTAATATTGATGTCGGGACCCTACTGCAAATCGCCCAGCAAAAAAAACGCTAAAACCATGAAAAAAATCTTAAAAAAAAAATTATTTCCGACCTACCGACCCTAATTTTTTCACGATATGAAACCGGAACCACAGGTATTTTTTTTTACGCCCAACGTATTTCGCCAATGAACTTTGACGTCATAATGTCAGTCGATCAACTACACGCGTAAAAACGCACAGGTTGTTGCAATATTGATGAAAACAGGATTGAACAATTTTTCTGTGTTGGTGCTGTGTATTCAGGTGAATAATACAGAAAAACACAAGAAAAATTCATATTACTAGAACACATTGGTATTGAAGGAACTAGATACTGTTCCGAAATATCACTTACTCGAACCGTCCTGACCGCGTAGCTCAGTTGGAAGAGCATTGGGCTAGTATTCCAAAGGTCGTAGGTTCGAATCCCACCGTGGCCGGGCATATTTTTCAAGCTCGCCCGGTGTGGATATGCACTCAGAGTAACATCGCAAACATAGGATTGAACAATGTTTTGCTGCCCACATTGTTCAGTTGTCAACAATATTGAACAATAGTGTTACACCCGATTCAGGCTCAACAATAATCAATATTGTTCAATATTGTTGACAAGTGTGAACAACGTGGCAGCAAAACATTGTTCGATCCTGTTGAGCAGCGGGCTCGGCGTTTTTTGCCGTGAAAAAGTGACGTCTCAATTTCGATTTTTAATGATAATTTTCAACGTAACATGTTATACTGGAACCAAAGTTCCTTAAAACCGTTCATAAATAGCACGCTTCACGCAATATTCAAATTAATTTCGTCGCAGCAACATATATTACGTTAAAATCCAACGTGTATATCAATGATTATCTACCAATAACGAAAAAATCGGCCCCATACCGATTATCGGTCAATCACCGGAGTCACAAGTAATGCAGCTAGTAGTATAGCCACCTTGTACGATGGTACAAAATGTTCTATTGTTCAACGGTTTGGTCAAACACTTCGTCTACCAACATTAAGAAACTACAGTTGGTACAAAATTTTGCATGCAGGATAATAACAAATATTGGAAAGTTCGACCATATTTCGCCGGGCTTACGCGAACTTAACTGGCTCCCAGTAAAGGAACAATTACTACTAAGAGAGGCTATTATGATGTACAAATGTGTCAATGAACTTGCTCCACATTATTTGAGCGATTTATTCACAAAACGTTCTGACATTCATCAACGAGATACACGTAGCCATGACTCACTGCAAATACCATTGTACAAAACTTCTGCAGGTCAAAGGTCCTTTCATTATAGAGGCGTTACACTCTGGAATGATTTGGACATAAAGTACAAAAAGTTAGACTCCCTAAAAACTTTCAAAAACGAACTGAAGCGAAGCATGCTAGAACAAATATATAAGTAGATAATTTTACCTTGTTAAACTTTATACAAATGTCTTACCTTTTTACCTTAATTTAAATTCTAGATTCTAAAACTTGTAAATAGAACAACATTTATTTTTTGTAAATCAGTGTTGAAAATCCCTATTTAGGGAACACAATAAAGTATGTATGTATGTATGTATGTATGTATGTATGGTAATGTAATATTCTCTTCAATCATTGCGTTATCATAGCGGCAAAAATATACATGCTTGTGTACGCGAAACTTTGGGATATCAATGGAGGATATAACATGGACAGTTATTGAAGTCCTCCATGCCTAAAAGGATAATATAATGTCATTGAAATCTCTTCTTACAGGCGGAGAAAGACAGTAAAAAAAGGAAGGAATCAGTCAATAAAGTTTGCCAAAAAATTAACGTAATAAATGTTTTGGAGCCGCCAACTAATCGCAGAGACAGAAAGAGTGCACTGCAGAGATTCAACTTATTTCACCATTTGATTGTGAACGAGGAACACAAAGTACTTTATTGTTTTATGCCTAAAGTTGGTTGTTCTAACATGAAGAGGATATTTGTGGTCATGGAAGGATTGTATCCGAGTGTAGAGAAAGTTAACATTCATATAATGAATCAGGAAATAGTACGTTTGGATAATAAAAAGTTCACTACAGAACAACAAAAGTATATGCTTAAAAACTTCTACAAGTTCATGATTGTACGAGATCCTTTCGAGCGGCTCGTGTCTGCGTACCGAAATAAATGGCAAAATAAAAGAAACATTGAGCTTCATGCCCACTTGGGGAAAACGATAATAGAGAAATATCGTTATAATAATACCAGAACGGTTGAAACTGGAAATGATATGAGTTTCACGGAGTATGCAAGATATTTGATTGACAGTCCGCCTTGGGAGGTCAACGAGCATTGGATGCAATATGAAGAACTATGCAGGCCTTGTAACGTGAAATATGACTTCATCGGCTCTATCGACACTCTAAGCCGAGATGTGACCCATGCTATGAGACAAATACATGTAAATGAAACCAAGCATCATTTGGTGCACATGAGGGGTACGCCACTAACCAAATCAAAACAAACAACAGCAGATTTCTTAAAAGAACTTCCTAGAAAGTATTTTGATCAACTAATGGCTATTTATAAAACAGACCATGAGTTATTTGGTTACCCTCTGCCCAAATACGAAACATTAGACAAGCGCTACACCTCGCCTGGCGAAAATAGTAACAGTTAATTCAATCAAGGTTTCCTTTGTAATAATAAAAACTCAGAACCTCAAACTCTGTGTGCAAATGAAACGTTTATTGTTCATTTGTTGTGCAATTTAATTGAGCATGATTAAGGCATCGATCAAGTGTGGTGTGAGAGTATCAGTGATTTTTGGGCATCTGAAGTATTCTCATTCGATAAAGCTGAATGTAGATGGGCTGTTGAGGGTCACCAAGAATGGGAGGGGGCAGGGAGGCACTTTCCTTGGGGCCCCATGGAGTTTAATGTAATAAAGTGCAATTTATTGTAAATTCAATATAATTCAATAATCATTTCATCAAATTGTGGGCTCTTTTTTGCCCCCACTGAACCTCAAACCCAGGCTCTTCCCCCCCATCCCCCCGCTTCTTTTTTTTATTTGTCATCAGCCTAGCAACCCCCTTTCTAAGAAAAAACAAACAATTCTTGCAACTACACGGAACATACAGAAATCAAATACATACTAGATAATATATTACTGCATAGCTTCTACACCATACACTACCGCAGGAACCAATTTTGTATTGGGGGGGGGGCGATTAGTCAGGGGCAATTATGAGGTCATTATTTCCCTCTCAAACTTTACAGATTATCGCTAGTTTACAAATTATTGGGGGGGGGGGGGCTGAAGCCCTCCCCCTTGCTACGTCCCTGCCATAGAAAAAAGTTCGACAGAGCTCATCATGTCCAGTACCCTGGATTCCAGAGCCTTCGACAGTAAATAATAAATTGAAGTGTCGCGAAGGCTCTGGTTCAACGGGGCGATTCTTTGATTAAGCCGCGCCAATCACAAAACAGAATTAGTGGTTTTAGTACAGAATCTGTACTAAATCTGTACTAAAACCACTAATTCTGTTTTGTGATTGGCGCGGCTTAATCAAAGAATCGCCCCGTTGAATCTGTACTAAAACCACTAATTCTGTTTTGTGATTGGCGCGGCTTAATCAAAGAATCGCCCCGTTGAACCAGAGCCTTCGCGACACTTCAATTTATTATTTACTGTCGAAGGCTCTGGAATCCAGGGTACATGTCCAGTGGCACAAATTCACTTTTTCCGGTGGGGGGGGGGGCAAAGCCTCCTAAATTTCAGACAAAACTTTCACATTTCCGACATACCCCCCATTTGCACTCGAAAAGACTGTTTTTAGCCCTCTTTTAGGTCAATTTCCCGTGAAGGTGGGGGGGGGGGGGGGGACGCCCCCCCCCCCCCCCAAGATTTCCCCTGATCATGTCTGAACTTTAATAATAAAAACTCTTGAAAGGAAAATATCCACTCCCCCTCCTAGGATACGTAATAGGTGATGTGCAACCACTCGTTCACTCGCAGGACAAAGAGATTTTCGCCATGTTGGTCTTGGTTGGAAGATATTTGCATTGCAAACAAGCAAACTCCTTTGTCAATGTCATCCAACATGGCGACGGTGACGTTAAGCTTGAACCACTTAGCTATTTACTAATATAATACAACAACTTTTATATTCAATTCGTCTGGTAAATATAAAATCATGGTAGTAATATTACGAGAAAACATATTATTCTAGTAATTTGTTTAAAACTTACCAAATTCTGTAGAATATGACTGGAATAAGGTCTGAAAAGACAAGTTGATCACCTGCTTCGAATTTTTTCATTCCAATTCTGAAATTTCAGCATTTTAAAGTCAATATTTTATTAAAAATAGAAGTATTTTATATCAACCAAACTTTAAAGACTTTAAATTCCCGCCAATCTTTCCAACAAAACACGGACTTGAGCCCACGTTGTTTTTCAAGCAAGGTTAAAATTTTGAAATGCTTCATGTAAAAATGAACATAAATGCGCAAATAAATACTGTCAATAATATTTTGTTTGGGTGTTTTTGAGCACAAAAAGTATTGGCGAGTGTTGTGAGGTGTGGAGATATCCTAGTGTTTTGAACGAGAAATATTGAAATGCTGAAGGGAGTTCAATTTTTCGTTTCCGTTGTTTTCTCAACAAAATTAATTTCTCAACAAAAGCTGTCAGTTTAGCAAAAAAATTAAAAACCCCGCAAATTTAGGGCAACTTTCCTAAAACATTGCCATTGGTTAGTTGGGCAAAAATACAATACGCACGTGACGGTGAACGACCAGATTTATGAATAAACGTTGACTAACATATGAAACATATAGATAATGAGTTATATTGTTATTCTAATAAGTTTCCAAACCATCTATTCTATTAATTAACTATGGTCCGACAAAACATACTATTTCCTTGGTGTAACTGCACCACGAGGGCCCTTTAAATGATGGCGGTTGTTATATGTAAATTACTTTGTTTGCAATGCGTCATATTTGCTTAATTAATAAACCAAACCCCTTTTGAGTACATGATTATAATATTAAGTGTATAAATACGTTGGACACATAATTGTTTAGTTCTCTAAAGTCAGGATGTATAGACTTCGTAGGTTTTTAACTTGTGGATGCGTATTTAAGACTCGTCCAAAAAGATCAACTGTGGCTGGCATCATGGTAGTTTGTCTTTTGCAGGTTCTTGGTTTAGGAGTTTATTATTATAACCAATTAGGCAGATATTATGTTAAGGTAAAGGTATTAATTATGTAATGTACGTACAAGGCCGGATCAAAGAGCATGATACGACCTTGGCTAGCTATTCTTAATGCTCTCCCAACACTATGAAGTATACTATCATGTATTCTATTTACGGTAAAACATTAATTGTTCGAACTTGAATGTCCCGCCGCATAACAATGCTGGCAACTCTCATCAACTCGCATCATCGTTCGACTGGGGGGGAGGGGGTTAATATATTTTTAATATAATGTGTATTGTTCTTTGTTCCGGCTTCGAATTCATCACTACAACTGACGACTCTATTCCAGAGCTCTCATCGGGGGAATATCATATACCACATTATACAGGAGTATAATATATTCATAAGGGAATATCTTAGATATTAATTTCATAGTACCATGCATGTCAGTCCTATTTCCTGAATATGCCTGTTCGGCTGTTCATGAACAAAGCCAGTGCATGTGGTGTTCGTTTAACATTAAGGCTTGATTCCACGGGCGCTTTTTCTGCGAAATGAAAAAATTTCGCGCGAAATTAATTAGCGGCATGCGCAGTAAAGATATTAAAAATTAGGCTTCGCGAGAAAATATTCCGTTTCGCCAGTGAGTAGAAGTCCTTTCTACTCACTGCGAAAGCGAAAAAAGGTGGGAAATTGAATAGAACCACTCAAGTGCAGCCATCCATATTTCGGCAGACACAATTTCGCGCGAAGAATTTCGCCTTCGTGGAATCAGGCATTTAGGTTCTTGAATTTGATTCCTACTTTCCAAAGTATAGTATATATATAGGTTATAGATCCATCAACAACTCATTAAGTTGTTCTTTGTCCTTAGGATTGAGTTCGTATTGTACTCAACCGAACGCGGCAGAACTCGGCCATATGGTGTCGGATAATATCTCTGGGATAATATAATAAAAATTATCCCAATTACTAAATAAACACTGCGACTTATTTTTGTAAATTATTAGTATTGCTGCAGACTCCTGTAGCAGCTAGACGGCTTGTTAAAACTATAGTTCAAACTGAATTGAATTGACTGAATAAGGTTCTGGTATAGTGCAATGAAGACAAAGAAAAGTGCTGCCGTTGGAAGTCTCGATATTACTTTCAAAAACTGAAAAATCGCACCGCGTTGTCGAATCGCATCCGGTGCATGTGTTTCGACCTTAATGATGAAACCGAAAGGATGTATTTGCACGTGTTCCTGAAATGTTGAAATGTTAAAAGCAGAAAGTTACGTCAGGATTACTAACTGTTAGACAACTGAATCAAGACAGCCAAACTCGAAGTTCATTAGTTTGTACATGTAACTACAGAGTACAATGTGTCTCAAAAAAAAGTGAACCCTAATTCAGTGCTTCCATTTTAAAAATCAAAATTTCTCATTTTTATCATCAAAATTTCCATAAATTCCTTAGATTGTATACATAATTTCCTTGAAAATTCCTTGAAATTTCATTAGGCGGTTTGCAGTGCTTTTGTAGCGATACAAAGGATTTAATCAATGTTAAAGGCAGAAAATAGCACAATTAACAAAGATGATTGCTAGCTAAAAAACCACAGGCTATTACACTGTTTAAAATTAAATATTTGTTATGCTTTTACAACATATACCTTCCCATTGATATAAATAATTAATTATTCACAGCGTTTGGCGCCAAAAGTTACTAAATCCCACCGCTCAAAAACTTTCGAAAGTTTTCGGAAACACGAGGAAAAGTTAAAAACAGATTTTTAATTAAACATAATTGATAATTCACTCAAAAAGTCAAGAAATAGTGAAACTTTCGTCTGCACTAATGCACTTGGATGAATATTTAAGTTGTTCGGAAAAAATCCTTAGATTTCCTTAGATTTTTTCTCTTCCTTGGATTTTCCTTTTCGACACTAGAATTTCCTTAGAAAAGGAAATTTCCTTGAAAATGGAAGCACTGCCCTAATTTCAAATTCAAATTAGCTATAATGTATTGTAGTAATTTGACAGCTCTAATTGCCTTGAATTAATTGTTGGGTAAGAACACAAGGTCTTGTACTCATGGGACAAAACTCAAACAGATAAAAATTAGTGAAAATTTAAAAGTTTTTAAGAGTTTTGTCCCATGAGTACAAGACCTTGTGTTCTTACCCAACCATAGCAATTAGAGCTGTCAAAGTTACTACAATATGTTATAGCTAATTTGAATTTGAAAGGGGGCATCATCTTACATCAGAGGGCCCTCACATAGCAAGTGCCACGTCAAGTGAACTCATGTTTAATGATGGGAGGGGGGTCTGAAAATCAGTAAACGGTAAAAATTTTGGTGTTTTAACGGTAACAGTAAGTGACATTTTGGTATTTTAACGGTAAATCTTTGAAAAGTGTTCAGAAACGATAAACAGTATTTTTTTCCTCACGATTCACGCTAAATTTTTAGTGTTTTCACGACTGACAGTAACCGAAATTGAGTGAATGACGACTCATGAAGTTTGGGGACTTTACCAAATGACCGCTTAATAACAGGTTCGACTGAATTGCTATAAACCTTTTTGCGTGGGGTGTAAAACTGCTGCTGTAAAGGTGGAGTAATGCGGGCATTGCTGCAACTTGCAACAAAATCTGATTTCAACACATTTTAATTGACCATTTGCGTAATAGACAAAATTTTGATCTAAACAAGTCTAGACAAAAATTTCATCACAGCTTGAAAGAGCATCACAAAATTAGTAATATTCCAAAGTTTCGTTGCGAAAGGTTGTAAAATGCGGATAATATAGCCTTGCGAAGTTTGTAATTTTCAGTCATTTTAGATTACAAACAGGAAATTGACAGCCTCAAAGCGTATCGGGCTGTCAATTTCCCGTTTGTAATCTAAAATGACTGTAAATTGCAAACTTCGCAAGGCTATATTATCCGCATTTTACAACATTTTGCAACGAAACTTTGGAATATTACTAATTTTGTGATGCTCTTTCAAGCTGTGATCTATTACGCAAATGGTCAATTGAGAATGTTCAGATATACATTACAAGTCACGAGGCAATATGTGTCAACATTTCTACTTAACATACGTTGAAATCAGATTTTGTTGCAAGTTGCAGCAATTTTGTTGCTCGTATTACTCCACTCCTCACCTTTTGTATAGGTTGCCAATGCTGACATGATATCAGGTGACTTCACGTGCAAAAGTTCCATCTCAAACACATCCTGTACATTTTCTATGAGTGAAAAGAATGGCATGAAAATTTGTCTAAATCTTGGTAAAAAATGCAAAGGATTTACATATAATCTTGGTCCCAACACTGTCACATTGAAGATGGGAGTTTTAGATAAACCGAAATTTACCCTGGGAGTTATAACTGTTCTAAAGAACGAACATAAAGAAATTTTAGATTTCGAAGAAGAAACTTGTGCTCCAAGAATGGTAAGTGATCTACAATCTTTGCAGACAGAAAGTGTTGGGACACTTGTTCTGACATGTGACAAATATTCCCCCTCCCCCTTTTACAATGTTGTTTTTTCATAACTAAACCTGGTCAAATGGAATAAATTCAGTACGGTAAAAATAAGTGAAGTGTCAGTGAAACAACATTGAAAAGGGGGGTGGGGGACATCACGGAATGAGTTTAGAATGCTATTGCGGCACCCATTCACTTGTGTAGTACATATTTTAGCAAGTGTCCAACTAATTTCTGCAATGATTGTCCGAAATCTTTGTCAAACTTGCTAATTCAATTATGTAATTTTCAGAAATGATTAAATTAAGTGAATATTTTTAGAATTTGTTATTTTTCCAGGAAAGCCAAACAAAGTCAACTGAAGATAAGAAAAAGAATAATATTTGCAATCTTCCCGTCATTGATCCATTTGATCCAACTGTGATGAAAATGATCGAGAAAGTTCCCCCACTAGTGTGTAAAGGAGAAAAAAACTTGACTTTTTATCAAAATGGATTATTAAGAATTACTCCAGGTTCGTGATATTTTCTACAGACATAAAGAACAACAGGTGGCGTGAAGTGCAAACAAGCAAAAATTTAATCAAATTGATCAAACATGGCGACGGTGCCTTAACCGATCGGCGTTTTTAAGTGACCGATTACATCAAGTATTACGCTCAGTTATGTTACTTACATACCCTAGATTATTTATTTTTACAACAATTTTGATATTGTTTGTGGAAACACCACGTAAATTTATTACTGCAAAGCTTTCGATCCGTAAGCCCGGATCTTCATCAGTGCTAATAATATGCGACTTGTTTAATTCACACGCTCTTTTCATATACAAGAGTGTCGTGATCTCACGACACTCTTGATCACGACACTCTTGTATATAAAAAAGAGCGTGTGAATTAAACAAGTCACATATTATTAGCACTGATGAAGATCCGGGCTTACGGATCGAAAGCTTTGCAGTAATAAATTTACGTGGTGTTTCCACAAACAAAAAACAATTATATTTTATCGCCATGCAAACATTCAAAGAAATTTTGATATTACTTTCCTAACTATGTTTATCCTAACTCACCCTATCAACTTCCCCTGTGGGAGGAAACTGGAGCACGCCCAGAGAAAACCCACGACTTTCGGCATAGACAGACTCTTTTCATACGTCCGTAGCGAGAATGGAACCCACAATCTCAGAAGTGAAAGCCCTGGCCACTGCACCATCAAAGTCCCCTACACTGCATATATCTGGAGTAAGATTTTCAATCATTCGGCCGATGCCAAAAATGAAGCCAAGAATCAAGATGCCCGAAACTGGCGTCCAAAATCTACGAAGGCCGTAAACAGTTTTAATTTCTACCACACCACAAACACTGACACAGACAGATAGGCAGAAATACACACAAACGCGGATGAAAGCATAACCTCCTGGAGGAGGTAATCATGCATTTTAGCTTTTTCTCAGTTTCCCAAGCAGCGCCAACAAAAACGTCCCCCGCTTATTTATATCCTCTTTATATATATACAAGATTATGTATAAATTTATTTGCTAACGTGACGCCGGCGCCATTTTTTTTACATTTTTAAATAATTTCTGACATCCAGTCTCACTTTCGACAAAGGCGGCGCAGCAAAATAAGAACGTTAACACTATTTCCATATACTATATAGGTAAGAGTGTAAAGAAAGTTGACTATCAAACTCTACGAAGAAAAAGTAATTCTGGTCAAGGTTACGACGTTTTCCGAACAGGCACGTTGACGCCGTCGGATCCCGAAGTGAAATTAAACGAGGATATGGTATATCTTGAGATCGAAACTGACAATAGTGATCAACAAAGAGAGTTCCATCTTGATGTACAGCCGCGTAAAGAGTATGTAGAGCGCATGGCAGAATCCAAACCTGGAATACCGCTGAACATAATGATGGTCGGCCTGGATTCTACGTCACATGCTCATTTCCAAAGAAAACTGGGTCCAGTGTATAAGTATTTAAAAGAAGATCTGCAGTCGGTTATATTTAACGGACATTCGATAGTAGGTGACGGAACAACGGAAAACGTCGTAGGCATGCTCGTTGGACGGCTTCTTGATGAACTACCAGAAGCACGTGTAGGGTAAGTAGCACTGTTATTCCTTGGGCTCTTACTTTGTCTGGTCCAATCTCAAGTGCATCCTAAATTTTCCTATTATTTACCTTAGGAGATTAGATGGAACATGTATCGACCGCTGGCCACTGATATTCAAAGACATGCGTGCGCGTGGCTACGTCACATACTACAGCGAAGACGAAGTTTATAATGGTGCTATCACGCATCGTCTTCAAGGTTTCTGTAAACCGCCTATCGACCACTATCTGCTACCATTGTGGTATGCTGGTCTAAACAAAATGACATCACTGTACAGAAAGGTCGCCGAATTTGGAACATATATTAAAGGTCACTGCCTAGGCTCTCAAGCTATCTACAACGTCAGCTTCAATGCTATACAAAGCTTCTTTGAAGTTTATCCCAACACTCCAAAGTTCGGGTTTCAATTCAATGCAGATTTTTGCCATCATGAATCATTTAATTTTATATCACTTGTCGAAGATAGGCTGTTAAATTTTCTCAAACTTATGAAGGATAAAAACTATCTCAATAATACTTTGTTGATTTTATTCGGAGATCATGGACTTCGTTATGGCTTTGTACGTTCCAGTATTATCGGTCGTATGGAAGAAAGATTGCCATTTCTATCTCTGACTTTCCCGCCTTGGTTCCAGTCATCTTATCCGGAACTCTACGCAAACTTACGAAAAAACGCCGAAGTGCTTACGTCACATTTCGACCTTCACGCGACTCTTCAGCATCTTTTGACATATCCGAAAGAGCCACAGGGTTTGCCTCATGGGAAAAGTCTATTGACAAATATCGGGTGGAGAACCTGCGAACAGACTGGGATACCGCTTCATTATTGTCCTTGTTTGGACTGGGACCCAGTTAGCGCTGATCACGAACATGTGGTAAAGAGCGGGTTCGCTGTCGTCAGCAAGATAAATGAAATGTTAAAGGAAAATGGACTCACAGAGAAATGCGCGACGTTGGAATTGAAAAAAGTGAAATCAGCTATTGTTGTGACTTCAAAGAAAGGGGGGTATGAGAAGAAGATAGATTTCCGGGTCCTTCAAGGTAGGATACATCGTGTTTCACTTTAAAATAATAATTCGATCATAGTTAATAGAATAGATGGTTTGGAAACTTATTAGAATAACAACATAACTCATTATCTATGTTGGTCAACGTTTATCCATAAACATGGTCCTTCACCGCGTTACGTGTGTATTGTATTCTTGTCAAATCCACCAATTGCAATTTGCAATTTACCCTATTGTTCGAGTCACGGATAGGTAACTTTCCTAAAACATTGCTATTGGTTAGTTGGGCAAAAATACAATACGCACGTGACCGACCAGATTTATGAATAAACGTTGACTAACATAGCAGTGGCGTAACGTTATATCAGGGGGCCCCCGGTTCAAAATTTTCAAAGGCCCTCCCCCCATAGTAGAAATGCCGAATGCACGAGTTGAGCGCCGTATATGCACGAGTTTTCCAAAAAAATTTTGAATTTAGACTCTCTGAAATGCCATTTCCCGGACTTTGGGGAGAGATTTTACAGAATTCTGATGGTCAGAAAACGACATTGTAACATATCAGAGGCCCTGGCCAATGTATTTGCTCTATAGCCTGAGCCTGGGGGCCCCCATTGGGGTTGGGGGCCCCCGGGTTCTCCCGGTCTGAGCCCATAGTAGTTACGCCACTGTAACATAGACAAAAAAAAAACGGGAACCACTGAGTACTTTAATAAAATACAAAACAATAGATACTCGGAAAATTGAAAGCATTTTGAAAAATTTATTTCGACGTTTCGACTAAACTATAGTCATCATCAGGAAGTGAATGCATTCATTTCCTGATGATGACTATAGTTTAGTCGAAACGTCGAAATAAATTTTTCAAAATGCTTTCAATTTTCCGAGTATCTATTGTTTTGTATTTTATAGATAATGAGTTATATTGTTATTCTAATGGTTTCCAAACCACCTATTCTATTAACTATGATTCGACTGAACTCTCTCCTCGCTTCCAAATCATAGCAACAGAGACTCTCTCGTGATGTTTTACGTTTTGACGGAAGACAGTTACAGCAAATTTAACTCTCTCGATCCCAGTTAGACGTTAGTTGAAAGGTAACATAGGGAATATATAGTTAAGAAATTGGGTGTGGTCGTTGAAAAACTCTCCGAACTATATCTCCCTTTAATAACTCTCCGTTTTGATAGCTAAAATAATGACATCACACCGGCAACTTTGACAGTGAAAAAGTTGATCACGATGAGGGTTTTTACTATAGCTATTTATTATATGGCAAGTATTTGTTTTGGTGAATCGCGCAATTTGATTGGCTGCTGACGAGGCAAGATCTTCCCGCATTGCAGCTCGTCCAATCAAAAGAAAGCATGGAGTTCGCTTCGGGAAGCCAGTAACTGCAGTGTTTACTTTTTACAAGTCTATTTTTACTCTGATTTTTACCGTTTGACATTTGTTAAAATTGTTTTTGGCCTAATGCTGAATGCGCTGTTTGTTGATTTTTTCAATTTTTGTTCTGCAATGTGATTGGTTAGTGTTCTCTAACTGGCCCCACTTACTGTAGACGCACGTAATATATATTCTCATTTCTAACTTTTTTTCCGTAGGCGGCTGCATGTACCAACTTCAAATCGAGACGTCGCCCAATAACGGGTTATACGAAGCAACAGTTCAAGTAATCAACGGTGAACCTCGTGTTAGTCTTGAAATAAGCAGAATCAATGAATACGGCAATGCAGCACATTGCATAAGAAACACACAACCGCTACTTAGGAGATTTTGTTATTGTCTATGAACCATAAATTATTAATAATATTCAATCATATGTACATGAACTTCCCGTTAATGCTCGGTAACTTTTGCCTAAGACTGTCGCATGCAACCTGCTTACAACTTGAGTTGTACTGTGTAAATCAAGCACACGATTCACCTACGAGGCGAGTTCCGTGCTTGATTTTAAGATTTACACAGTACAACTCAAATTATTAGCACGTGGCATGCATGCGATAGTTTCATCCAAAGTTGTGTGTAGTGTAAAGGCCCATACAGACCGGACGCGATTTGGCAACGCGACTTTTCAGTTTTCAGTGACGTTTAACTTTAACCCACACTCGGGGTTAGAGGCGGGGTGAGGGATTAGCCTTGATGCATTATAATAGAGGTCACACGAAGTATATACCGCTCAGTAATTAGACCGCTGCAGTGGCTGCACCTCAACCCTGCAGGCCCCTAGGTTTTCATGCTGGAGGGCCTAATAAGTTGCATTTTCCACAACTGCTCGAAACGTTAGCTAATAATATTTATTTTTATAAGTAAAAAAGATTATAAAAAAATTCTTTTGCTGATAAAATTTATTTTTATCCCTGCAAATCAAAACTACCATTTGTTGGGCTCTTTTATTCATTTTTAAACTGAGATTCCCGCCTGGTGTACCAATGGTAACCAGGGCCTCTTTTAAGAATTTGTCAGTGGGGGGGGCATCAAGAGGAAGGGACCCAACTAGGAGGTGGTGAACGGGAAGAGTGGGAACTTGTCCGGCCCAGAAAAATGTTGTATTTTTAAGTGTCTGGGGCTTGATTTTCACCATTTTTAGACACAATTTTTAATATTTTATCCGCTAGATAAAGATTTAGTCATGGGAATACTAAAATACTCTTCTTCACTAAGTTATTCTTCCCTTTTTTGCTTATATTGTGGACAGAAGGGACCTTCACTGGAGGACAACATAGTTCACTGGAAGGGCCAAAACAGGGGCTGGCAAGTCCCCCCCCCCCCAGTCTATGGTTTTAAAAGAGGCCCTGATGGCAACAAAATTGAAAAGTGTAAAAAAAGGCAACACTCTGGTTAAAATTTTCATGCTTAACCTAGAAATGAGCCTACTTAGGTTAACTTATTAATATTCCTGATACCCTGGTTCCAGAGGCTCTTTGCAAGGTGAAAGAAACAAGAGGCGAGAATGGAGAGCCTCTGGTGACATCGGTTGCAAATCCCACTTCCGCACTTGATTAGGTTCAGAATTTGAATCTCGCATGTGATTGGCCATTTATAAAAAATATGTCAGACCAGTTTGGAAAATAAACATTACTGTATTAAGCTATACTGTAATGTTTCTGTACTATATGGTTTCTAGAAATATCCATACTATTTCCATAATAAGGATTATTAAGTGTACATAATAAGGTGTATTAGGAAAGTTCAAACCCAAACCACAAAGGTTCCTTAGCCCCCCCCCCTCTCCCCCGTGTCTGACGCGCAAGCTATGCATGTAAATAAGGTTAGAACAGCAAGTTCTTGTTTGCTAGGTGCCATCTTGAAACACAAATTGAGACCAAAAAATTGCTTCGATTGGTGTTTACATTACCATGACAGCAATAGAGAGTTTGAGCAAGAGAACGAAGTCGGTCGACGTGGTTGACAATTTTTGCCTGTCTTGCACATTATCCTGCGCATTCTGAGTTTAGGGTCAGGAGTGAAGACAGATTAGAGATTCATGTCTAGCTGTTTGTGAATGCTGACTCAAATCCTTACCCTGATCAGGATAAAACAGCGAGACATGAATCCATATCCCGTCTTCGTTCTTCTGCCTTCGTTCACAACAAATATTTTGGCAAAATTCGTTGTGAACTTCGTTCTGCACGAATGCAGAAGGACAAAGACGGGATATAGTTTCATGTCTCGCTGTTTTTTTCTGGATCAGGGCAAGAATTATGGTCAGTATTCATAAACAGCAACACATGGGAAGACACGTTGAGCAACTGCCAGTGACCTCCAACTCAGTATGCGCAAGATAATATTGTCAAGTATGCCTTCGTCTTCATACTTCGTTGTCTTGCTCAAACTCTCTATTGCCAAAACCAATATGGCACAACACACGCCACTTGGAATAGTGAGCACCACACCGGCACTTTGATGCAGAATTTGATGATTACATCATTTCATATGTAAACACTGGCGCTATCAGGTATGGTTTGTGTCACTATGCAAACTATCCGATACAATGTAAAAATAGCCTTGATAAAGCCATTATATCATGGCTTTGATAAACATAAAAAATTCTGGAATCAAACAAGCTAATTCAACTTATCAAAGCCATGATATAAGAGCTTTATTAAGAGCTATATTTATTACTGTTACTGTTAACAGTATAAAGTTTATTCAAACAATCTATTATGGTCAGGAACGATTCATCCCGGCTACCTGGGCTATCCCGGCTACCTGGGCTGGCCCGGCTCATGTGAACTGCCCCTAAAACTACACTAGCTAGGCTGCATTCGGATGGAGCACACTTGAAATTTCATTATCCATAATTTATTCTCGTATCCACTTTTCAAGCGTTCGTCTTTCTTTGCCATCGCATTTATCAACATTTAAGCCACTTCTAACATGCTTATCTTTCGCTATTTTCATACACACTCGACAATAGAGAGGCCCTCCTTCCCACCATTTTCCAATGTTCGAACTGTAGTACTCCTTAGGGAACTCGAAGCCTTTGTATTTCCATTTTAGAAACTTATTATACTCGGTTTCATTTTGGGAGAGCCATGTCAGATATTGGGCCAGTTGTCGTGGTGACCTAAAGTCTCTAACTTTAATAACAGATTGCTTTAAATTGCCCCATTGTAGGATTTCGTCAATTGTATCCGTCCCCATCCAAACGGGGACAGATCCAGACGACAAAGCAAGATAAATCTTTTCGGTCATGTAGTAATCACAATCTGAATTTGGGAATGCAAATACAAATTTATACTTCGCCATGACCGTGTCAAGACGATGGCCTGGAGGTATCCTTGGTTTATTTTGTAGACATTTTCCGTACGAATCTACTTGCATGTATTTCATTAAACGATGCAGATATATAGTACGAACGTTTTCGCAATGGCTATAAATGGCGATGCTTAGACCAGTCTTTTGTGCAAAAGGAACAGGCTTTGCTAGCTTCGGTTTCAGAAACAGTGAACAAGGGAAGTCAGAATCTAGCCGTTGGGTAGCCAAGTATGAGAACTTCTGCATTATGTTTTTATTCAGAAATGCAGTGGTAAAACGAGGACTTTCATTCACATGAAATATCCATGGCACTGTATTATATTGACTCGAGGTCGGCATTTCCTCCGTATTTCGACCGTGTATCACAATCGCTGAAGCTTCTCCAACTCGACTTTTATTTGTGGTCAGTTCACATTTAACCGGACAGTTTTCACCAAGAGCAAAAAACGGCCATCTATATTGCTCATCGCTGCCAGTAATATTCACTTTGTGCCCGAAAACCGTCGTCCAATATAGTATTAGAATGGATGAATTCACCGTTCGTAAGCTACCTGCTTCCACGCTTTGTGGAACGCTTTCTTTCGCCCAAAATACGGCATAATTGTTCAATGTCAGCATTTCAAATAGAAGTAAAACAACACCGACAGCAGATAAAGATATCAAACAAATGTATAGACGCACTTTCATTTCCGTATAACAAACGTTCAAGGAAGAACATTCAGACTCCGCAGTCTACTGTTTATATATTAATACTCAGGTGATATTTTAATACTGATCTCTCGATTATTATTATATTCATTTTGAAATCAATAGTGTTTCCTGCAATCTGATTGGTTCACAGGAGTTGCAATTTCAGCACGAATCGCACTCCTCTTTCAACCAATCACATTTATAGACAACCTCAAAGGCCCTGGGGACGAGGTTGATTTATAGAGTGTTGACTTCAGCCAACCAATCATATTTAATCATAGGATTCAAACAGCCAATCAATTTTAAAACGAATCGCACTCCTCTTTCAACCAATCACATTTATAGACAACCTCAAAGGCCCTGGGGACGAGGTTGATTTATAGAGTGCTGACTTCAGCCAACCAATCATATTTAATCATAGGATTCAAACAGCCAATCAATTTTAAGAAAAATGTAATATAGCAAATGAGCAAAAACAAAAAATTACATATGTCATGATTACTCTGGAGTGCCTAAGCAATTTTTTGCACATAAAAACAAAAAAATATGGATAGCTACATTAAACTATCAAAGAACTGCAAATAATTTATTTTTTAATTTCACCAATAGTAACAGGCAAAAATGTCAACAAAAGCAAATTTGAACAACCTTTGAACAACCTTTGAACAACAAATTTGAACAACCTTTCGTTTACAGTTAACTCTAATCTATCTCTAGAAAATAATGTAGTTTTTTGCTGAACCATGCACCGTGACTTGTTTCAATATATCAAAATAATCGCGCCTCACATCTCGTCCTGGAAAAGCGGGATCATAAACAGCCCCTTTTATTCAGCAAATTCCGCATGCTGCCTTTGGGTGAGGCAACACTTTCCTTGCGACAGTAACTTCTAGTTTAACATTAGCAAACATATTTAGTTGATTTAGGGGTAGCCTGCTCACAGACGTTGTAATTTAGGCTATGTTTACATTGTATCGGATCAGTTTTTGTTTCGTTCGCGAAAAGTTATGGTCCAAGTGTAAACAGCTTCCGCCCCGCCCATCTATGCCGTCATGTTTTCTTCTATATATTATTAGAATAGTAAGTTGTTGTTTGCCAGATTCCATCTTGAGTCACGCATTGAACCGAAATTGCTCCGATTGGTGTTTACATTACAATGAGAGCGTTGCAAAAACCGATCCGATACACCGCGCACCACTTCGAAGAGCGAACCGCCGCACCACCGGTTCGTTGCAGAAATTGAGACGATAACAACGTTTCATATGTAAACAGAAGCCCTATCCGGTATGGCTTTTGCGTCGGACGCAAAGTGATCCGATACAATGTAAACATAGCCTTAGGGGCGGACCATTAGAAAAGTGATTGGGAGGGGGGGGGGAGCAAAAATAAAAATCGCGCAGGGGAAACAGAAAGAAAAAAATTCGTGCATCAAGAAAGTTTGAAAAGGAAAATTCGTGCACAGACTTTTCAATAGGGAAAATTATAAGTTGAAATAAAAAAAATTCGTGCAAGGTTAGGCCTAGGGATCATATTTAAAAAAATTATCGACACAAGCAAAAAATCAAGAAAAAATATTCGTACAAGTTGAAAAAGCCCTCCCCTCCCCCATCACTTTTCTAATGGTCCGCCCCTTAGTTTTGATTGATATCTATTTAAATATTAGAACTGTGACTCAAGACTGTATCAGAAGGACAAAAAAGTTTACGAGAGATATATTGTTATCAGTTTTTGATTTAATACAAACTGCTAACCTGGTTACTTGGATATTGCCACAGAAGTAAGTAAGTAAGTAATGTTTTATACAGTATATACTGCCCCAACAAATAATAAGGAAACTGCATGACTCACGAGCTTGTAGATTTTGCCATTTTGGTACTGCCGTTAGTGCTCACTGAATGTCGCTGCATGGGGAGTACAGTATATTGTACGTTTTCTCTACTTTAAACCTGTTAACATGAATAAACCGAGACCGTAAATAAGCGACTTTCAAGGTACTTGCTCTGATCAAGCCCGTGTTATCACGCAACATGCTAAGCTTTAATTAACTCATATAATCAATGTCGACATAGCATGCTAGTTTATTAATATTAGCAATGGCAAGTATTACATTTTCTTATATTTATACCAAGCTTCAAGACTCATCTTGATAAAACAAACCAACAACGCAATTTTTCTATTTATCCTACTTAAAGTGTAACACACATATTGAACATCAACGACAACGTGTATAAGACAAATATCCCAAATTTTAAACTATCCCACTCCAACGCGTCCAGCCGACCTTTATTTTTCTTTTGTGTCAATAAGTGACTCCTTGGTATTGCCCTGAACTATACAAGTCGATAGTGTTTAGATACAACTGAAGTTTGAACACAACCCAAAGTTTGCATCGGGGCCTGAAAACATACCAGGCCATGCACCGATACATGTAGTCTAAAACGGTGTTACTGAACTGAAGCAAATACAGTAATTAAACACGACTATAGATAAAAACTATAGACTATTTGTGAAGCTTGAAAGATATATTCACTTTGTCTAAAGGCTTTTTGTGTGTGAGAAGTGACAAGACAGATCCTTCCATATTTTAACTGAATAAGAAGATACATCATGATATAGATCCTTCCATATTCAGTTTAAGATCCTTCCATAGATCAGTATGAAAATGCGAAGCTTCTAAAAACCAAAGAGCTTGCACTACCGCTCGAGCAATGATATAACGATAAGTGGGTTAAAAGCCGAGGAAATAGGAAAACAATTCTCGTATTGGATGCGACGAATATTACAGAGAATCTCGACGAGAAGGACCTTTACTCGAACGAAATTGGAATTCGTCCAACAACGAACGACCAAGCATGCAAGACGCCATACTTAATCAACAACGAGCGGCTCTATTTCCTTGAGGACACCGTTGACAGTTTAAAAGCTCAAATGATCTTATTAAAGTGCCGAAACTGGCGAAAGTAGTTAATCGGAAGCCCACGTAGAAAGCCTTCGCAAAGAAAAAAACCAATTAAGAGAAGACAAGACGCTCAAAAGAGCGTTAACTCGCTGATAGTGATATGCATGTTAGATGGTACTACAAGCCTTCAATTTATATATGGCCAATTGAAGAGTTAATTGTCACCTGCACCTTGTTGCGATGCCCGGCATTGCTTTATATTCTGCCATAGCCTGTGTATATAGCAGACGGGTTTTTGGGGGGAGGATCCTTGCACGTTCTCTGAATTTCCTTTTTTGCGCCGGGAAAATGAATTAATCTCGGATTCTCAAGATCGACAAGATCAAGATTCATTCAAAATTCATTCAAGACTCATTCAAGATTCATTCATTCGATCATTCTCAAGATCGAGGTCAGGGCGGGTTTATTATTTATATTTTTATATGTTTATATAACTTATAAATAAATAAATAAAATAATTCCGCGAACATTTAATATTTCTGTGATTTCCGAAGAGAAGTGTAACAAAGCGAAATAAACATATTACATTACACATTGACTGAACAATGTCAATAAAGTTTCTTTCAAGGTTCTGTTTGTTTGAAATTGGCAGTTTAAAATGGCACTAAAAACTCAATATAAAATATAAAAAACTTAACTGTCTTGAAATATTTTGTCGGAGGGTTCATTAAATTTCAATTCAATCGATTTATGTTGTATAACGAAATTATCGCTTTTCAATTATCGCTTTTCTGTAAAAATTATCGCTTTCTAATTCAAAGACTGTCACTTATATAATAAACAGAAAAATACATGAGTGCTTGGAAATACCAGATTTATTTCTCGTGTTGAACATGATATCTCACTCGTTCGCTGCGCTCACTCGTGAGATATCATGTTCAACACGAGAAATAAATCTGGTATTTCCAAGCACCCATGTATTATTCTCTATATAATTGCATTAACGCGCCAATTTCGAAACACAGACACACATATTGCAGGCAGTCGCACTATCTTTCCTATTCTAAAAAATCAGAATGGATTCAACTCCGAACCGAAAGCAAAACAAAGAAAGTGCGATCCAACCCCTGGTCTAGGAATAACCCAAAACTCCTAGGTCGCGGTCACACTAGCGCTTGTGCTTGCAGATTGGCATGTACTAAAAGGCGAAACGTCGAAATGAAACGACCGAAACGAAACGGCCGAAACCATCGAAACGACCGAAACGACCGAAACGAAACGACCGAAACGAAACAATCGAAACGAAACGACCGAAACGAAACAACCGAAACGAAACGACCGAAACGAAACGGCCGAAAATGTAAATTACAGGAAAATTGAAAAATGCGGATACGGACGGACGGACGGGGGGGGACAGTCGGATGGACGGGGGAAGAGGCGGATGGACGGGGGAGGGGACAGGCGGATGGACGGGGGGGGGACGGCTTCATTTGACACGAAACTCAATTTTAAAATCAAATCCGCGTTTTGTTGAAAGGGATATATTAGGATATATTATAATAGACTATTATTAATCGTAATAAATTGTCCGCGAAAAGTTGATAAAATACATGTGGAAATGCGGGGTTTTTCGAACCTTCGTAACGCTTGATATAAGGATAAAACGCGGATATGCTGCAACTTTCATGCTTAATATTCTCAGTCATCTGGGTATGTAGTAATCTAATTTTATGCAATGTAATGTGCTATTTTTCAAGGACTTTTCAATGCAGTTATCGGTTTAAATATAACTCAAATTCCCGCTAAGATATGACAATTGCCGTACGGCCTACTTTTACGCAAACGCAAATTACAACTGCAAATTTTATCAGCACATTGCATAAAATTAGATTACTACATACCCAGATGACTGAGAAAATTAAGCATGAAAGTGGCAATTGTAGCTAATTTTCGTTTGCGTAAAAGTAGCGGCAATTGTCATATCTCTTAACGGGAATTTTAGGTATATTTAAACTGATAACTGCATTGAAAAGCCCTTGAAAATATAACACATTACATTGCATAAAATTAGATTACTACATACCCAGATGACTGAAAAAATTAAGCATGAAAGTTGCAGCATATCCGCGTTTTATCCAATCAAGCGTCTACGAAGGTTTGAAAAACCCCGCATTTCCACATGTATTTTATCAACTTTTCGCGGACAATTTATTACGATTAATAATAGTCTATTATAATATATCCTAATATATCCCTTTCAACAAAACGCGGATTTGATTTTAAAATTGAGTTTCGTGTCAAATGAAGCCGTCCCCCCCGTCCATCCGCCTGTCCCCCCGTCCATCCGCCTCTTCCCCCGTCCATCCGCCTGTCTCCCCCGTCCATCCGCCTGTCTCCCCCGTCCATCCGCCTGTCCCCCCCGTCCGTCCGTCCGTATCCGCATTTTTCAATTTTCCTGTAATTTACATTTTCGGCCGTTTCGTTTCGGTCGTTTCGTTTCGACGTTTCGCCTTTTAGTACATGCCCATGGCTACCATTGGAAAATATCGTGATGTTCCGGTATATTCCGGGAAAATGTCGCAATATTCCGGCATATTCCGTGATATTCCGGCATATTCCGTGATATTCCGCCATATTCCGTGATATTCCGGCATTCCGGGTTTTCACAACGCCCGTTATGGGCAATATTTAGGTGAGATATGGGCCAGCATGCCATATTAAATAATAATATCAAAGTACTTAAGTAGGAAGTGTTATATGTCGACATGAAACATGGGTAGAATCTAGCACTCTAGCTAGGCACTTCCCTTGACAAATAAAATTGTCCGGCATTAGGCAAGATAACATTTAATAACAAAGGGGCTCATTGGAGTGAAATGGGTAATTCCAAAACAATCAAACCCTTGCCGGGGTGTCTCTAAAATATTTAAATTGAAGCCCAAAGGTTGTTACATATATTATTAAGCAGATCATGAAGACATGTGGTGTAACTAAATGTATTCATAAGTTTGAACAAGAAAACTAGGGACTTTAACTGTTTCCAGTTAGGGACACATCTATAATCAAGTTGCCACATATGACAACAATACATCAAATTGATATTTTTATCTATTCTAAACTGACCCACCTATATATGAATAAATATTGGAAACTTATGAAAGTACCAGTTAATTTGAAACGAGTCGATAAATTTTCTCAAACCATGTTTAGCTGGGACATGCCTGGGTAGGCATATGAGAATTGAGTAGATGCCATCATGTCAAGCTATATTATTTTATACAACAAACACTGGAATCTGGCAATCTGTCATATACACTATAGTATACACAAAGATCAAATTATACTATTTGGCATTACAATAAACATCATTTATAAGTATAAAGGCTGAGTCAAATGTAAGCCTTCTATAAAACTAATGTTGTTTTAATTCAAATATTGTCGCAGCAAATTGAAATTTTAAGCCGGAACATGTGCTCAAAATTCACGAATGAAGATAACAAATATTTCCTTTCAAAATTGCTCTATTATATATAAAACATAATAAAATTCTTACCTGAATGTTATCCAGTCATCCCTGATCTTTTATCTTCAAAATAAATAACACTGTCGCTCAATAAAAGCTCTGTATTTGAGCCATTTCGAGCAGAAAGTTTAAACTAAAAATATTTTAAAATATGGCGGTGTGAATTGTGACGCTATCCCAGAAAGCTTTGCTTTGTCAGAAAGCTTTGCTTTGTCAAAAATGCAAAAATGCTTGAGATGTTTTGTCAAAAATGCTGTTTTGTCAAGAGACAAAATACCTACCTCCACAAAGTCCACAAAGACTATAACTATTTTTGTAAATATAATTTCAATGAACTGACGAAAAATTTAAAATTAATTAACTCAAACTGGGAAATTTTGAGCAGTTAGATAAATACATTTACCCTTTCTAAATTCTCACAACTTTCTATTTGAATAGGAAATAAATAGCTTTTAAGATCTAATTATTTTGCTATTTATTAGCTATTTTAACAATAGCTCTAAAAATAAAAGTAAACATAGTTTAAAAATAGCTATTTAATAGCCATTTTGAACAAAATTCGCCACAACTTTCTATGAATAGGAATTAAATAGCTATTTAAGATCTATTTATTTTGCTATTTCATATCACATATCATATATCATGTCGAAGCACGCTTTGAGAAGCAGCGCTCAAAAAGAATCAAAATTTACCGTAAATACTTCAATTGATAAAAAGAACATGAATGCCTCTAAAGTTAATGAAACACCAAGCAGATTGCCAGGAAAAAACGGAGAAAAACGACCAAAAATGGACAGAATTGACGAAATGTTCGATATGATCAAAGCCGTCATGGCGAAATTAGACACGTTGGATGAAATTAAGCAACGCATCGTTTACGTTGAACGAGAGTTATCAGAGATGAAAAATTCAATCGAATTCGCTCACGCCGAAGTGAAAGAGTTAAAGGAAGAGGTGGTAGAATCAAAGAGATCTGATCAGGAAAACAAAGAGAAAATTCGCGCGTTAGAGGAAGCAAATCAACATCTGCTAGACAGCGTGATTGATCTCAAGGCTCGATCCATGCGTGACAACCTACTCTTTTACAATGTTCAAGAAGATGAAAAAGAAAACACGTGCGACAAGATTTATAAAATCCTCGAAGAAAATTTGCAAATCCCTGATGCCAGAGAGAAGATTAAAATAGATCGTTCTCACCGAGTCGGAAGGAAGCGTGATAGCAACCGTAAGCCGAGAGCAATCGTTGTGAAATTTAACTATTTTCAAGATCGCGAACATATTCGAATGAATGCCAGGAAACTCAGAGGCACACGCATTGGAATCGCGGAACAATTTCCCGAAGAAATCGAAAAGATTAGACAAACATTATATCCCGAAATGAAGAAGGCGAAAGCGCAAGGTCACAGAGTGCGTATGGTTCGAGACAGGTTGTATATAAACAATGTCGAGTTCAAACATTACTAATATTTGTATAGAGTTATTTTTCACTTTTAATCATATATACATAACCAGATATGGCCAGTCTAAGTTTAGATAAGGAATTATGTTCTACCTGTTCTCTTAAAATCAGTAAAAATCAAAAAAGCATCAAGTGTCTCACATGCGGGGGACGGTTTCATACTCGCGCCTCATGCATAAAATTACCAGTCACATGTCATCAAACGGAAATTGATATATGCAACATGTGCTTAAGTTGTTCGCTTCCTTTTTATTCAATTGATGACTTAGAATTCCATTTTATTTTTGGCAATTTTAATCGACTTCCATGCGATGAGGTTATGGATAGACTAACACAACTCAAGTTTAATCCTATAGACTTTGATAACAATATTACTAACGCTCGACATTTTGAAAATTATATGCAGGAAAATCTTGATTGTTTAACATGCAACTATTACCTACCAAATGACTTTCCTGCAATTAATTCTGATAGCAATAAACTATCAATACTAAACCTGAATATAAGAAGTATAGCAAATAAGTTTGACTCGCTTAGAAATCTACTAAATACTTTAAAACAACCCTTTTCTATAATTAGTTTAACTGAAACTTGGCTTAATGACAAAAATAGTGAAAATTTCAATCTTAGTAATTTCGATTTTATTTGTTCTAACAGGGAAAATAGAAAAGGCGGGGGAGTAGGATTTTTTATTTCAAATAGTTTAAACTACAAACTACGAACTGACCTGAATATAAACGAGGATGGAATAATTGAAACGCTTTTCATTGAAATTATTTTAACAACTGGTAAAAATATTATCGTTGGTACTATCTATAGACCGCCAAGTGGTAATTTTGAAATGTTTGAAAATAAACTAAATACAATACTAACGGAAGTTGACAAAACAAGGAAAATAACATATTTGACAGGGAATTTTAACATTGATCTTTTGAAATCTGATGATTGTGAATATTCTAGTAGATTTTGTGAGCAACTTTTTACCTCATCGTTTTTTCCACTTATAAATAGACCAACTAGAATTACCCAGCATACAGCTACTTTAATTGATAACATCTTTACAAACGATCTTGAACATATAGATTCAAGCGTGAACGGATTAATCTTCTCAGATATTTCAGATCATCTCCCAATATTTCATATAGCTTGTTTATCCTCAAACAATAATGACGCCAAAACGGGAAATTCACATTTCAAACGAATAAAAAACAAAAATAATCTTGACTTGTTTCTAGCATCTGTGAAAAATATATCATGGGAAAGTACTTTCAAATCCAATGACCCATGTGAATCCTATACGAACTTTCATGATAATTTGAAGATAGCAATTGACAAACGTTTTCCCTTAGTAAAAATAAAAGACAAATTTGTAAACCACACAAATTGTCCCTAGATGACAAATGGTATATTTAAGTCCATATCAAAGAAAAATAAACTTTATAAAAAATTTCTTAAAAATCCAACTCACAAAAATGAGACAAACTATAAAAAATACAAAAACAAACTGAATCACGTAATAAAAACCGCAAAAAAGGCCTATTATGAAAAACAATTTGTTAAGTACAAAAATGATACAAAAAAAACATGGCAAACTATCAATGAAGTTCTTAACAGAAATAAAACAAGAAAAAATCTACCTGATACTTTTTTACAAAAGAGTTCAAATAACAATGTTACGAATCCTCAGGAAATTGCTAACAAATTTAACGAATATTTCGTAAATATAGGCCCTCAACTAGCAAAAAAAATTCCAGGAAATGATAAAATAACATACGAAAGCTACCTTAATGGTAATTATGTTGAAAGTATGTTTATTGAACCTGTGACAGAATATGAACTGCAAATTGAAATTAATAACTTAAATGAAAATAAAAGTGCAGGACATGATGAAGTAAGTGTGAAAATGATAAATAAGATTAGTGAAAATATAATCAAGCCTCTAACATATATTTATAATTTATCGTTTCAAACTGGAAAAACACCAAACTTTTTGAAACTACAATCCTGGCCAAAAGAGCTTGGGACAACCCAAAATTTTCGCATGTTTTTATTGTTTTTTTCAGGGAAAGCAGATTTAACGCAAAATATGCTTTTGATCCGAACCCCCCTCCCCTCCCCCGTTCAATGTTGATTTTGGGGGCATCCTTAACTAAAATTGTAAGAACTTTCAACATTGAATTGGGGTGGGGGAGGGGAGGGGACGGGGACGTTGTCTTTAGAATTCAAGGGTGGAAAAGGTTGAGTGTCCCAACACTTTTGTCCAGGATTGTCTGTGTATAGGAAAACTTGTAAATTGAAAATATTTTTTTAAGATATATCACATATATCCGTAATTGGGCTTTTCACGAGACTTGTTGATGTCACAAATTGTTGGTCGTTATTCGTGTCTAAAATCCGCTGACGCGCGCTATTGCAGGCGCACTAACATCGTAATGAATGATTGGTATAGTAATTAAGTGATTTGTTGTAAACGAGAGGAACAATTTTAGATGCTTGTCTTTGAACAAAGCTTACAAAGCTTTTAATCATAAAGAACAAAATTTATTGTAAATTTCTAATGGTTTACAACGGTGAAATATCAGCTGAACAAAAGGCGCTCGCAATCTATTTTAAAGCTGTAATCTGGAACATCATACAGAGAGATAGCGCGAAAATGTTATATTTCAAAATCGGCTGCGGTAGAATATGCAAGTCCGGTTGCAAGTCAAAAGCGAAGTGGAAACCTGCACAGGGTTTGGCGAAAGAGAAGCAAAGGATTGGAAATTGCCAGCAAAGGTTCTAAAGAGCTCCCTGGTCTGCCTCGTATCCAGAATCGATCAAATTAATCCACAAGGCGCACGCAAAGGCCGCGCAAGCTATAGAACAACACATAGTGCCTGGGTTGACGTGTCAGCTTTTGAAGATTTCGAAGCAGAAATGCATGTGATACCTCCACGTTCACCAGATCTAAACCCCGTGAATAGAGAATATGTTCCATATTGTGAAGAATGACTTAGAGCGCCAAGCTATTTGCGAGAATATCACGGTGAATCATTGAGCTAATTTGGAAAGAAAAAAATTTAAGCGTTAGATAATACCTCCGTCGACATTATAGATCGCTACTTCCGTCGACGTTATAGATCGCACAATAAATAGTATGTCTGGGAGCATTCATGCTGTAATTAAATCCAAGGCATTCCGAATAAAATATTGACAGCTTATGCTTAATTTTATTGCTTAATATTACGTAATCTATTAACTCAATTGAGACCGGAAATTCAAAATGAAATGTAAACATGTACAGTTCTCGTCGACAGGAGCAACACTTCTCAGCATCATTTCCAATGATAAATATAGTATTATTCATTTGTCACCCCAAATTTCGGTGACATTTCTTTTTGTATACAATTTACTTTCGAAGCTAAGCTGAATATTGTATAATAAAGTGGCTCACTTGCGACTTTCCACAGTTCTCACTTCTTGAGTAAAAAAACCTGCAATTTTTTGTATTTTCTAAACTCAGTGATGATGAGAACTGTTGCAAATACGTATACAATGCACTTTCTATACACAAGAAAACATTTTAACGGAAGTGCAGCTATGACTGAAATCAGAGTAGAGGGTTATCCGAAATATATTATAAAAACCAAGTGCGAAATTTCAAATTATATTACTGAGAAGTGTGCGTGAGTACTGCCTGTCTCTGGTTAATATGTTGTTTACGTGTGTTAACAGAAATGTTATTAAATATGAACTATTATTGTACGTGCGGTATTTGGTCATTCGTTTGTATTGTTTTCCACGACTAGTTTTGTAAAACAGAAAGCGACCATGACATTATCTAAGTGTATCTGCTCTTCAGTTCAGTCCGGTTCACTGTTTTCTACATCTTCAAGAGTATTATTAAAAATTATTATTTAAAAATATTTAACAACGGTAGCCCTATCAGTTACCTGTTTTTCAAGGGTAGTTTTCCGAGTATATGAATATAATTCGTTAAAAAATCATCTAGTGTAAAAACGGCAAAGATTTTCGTCCACATTTCATTTTTAGTTTATCATCTAAATTCCGACAATCCTGGCCAAAAGTCCTTGGGACAACCCAAAATTTTCGCATGTTTTTATTGTTCTCTGCAGGGAAAGCAGATTTAACGCAAAATATGCTTTTGAACCGAACACCCCTCCCCTCCCCCGTTCAATGTTGATTTTGGGGGCATCCTTAACTAAAATTGTAAGAACTTTCAACATTGAATTGGGGTGGGGGAGGGGAGGGGACGGGGGCGTTGTCTTTAGAATTCAAGGGTGGAAAAGGTGAGTGTCCCAACAGTTTTGTCCAGGATTGTAGCTGGTTGTGCTGTGACCACATATGGTATTCCGGCTTTTAGTATTCCAGGTTTTAGAGATTCCCCATTTAAATTTTAGTATTCCGGGGTTTGGAGATTCCGGGGTTTTAGAGATTCCGGCTTTTAGTATTCCGGATTTTAGAAATTCCCCATTTTAGTATTCCGGGCAGTTTTAGAGATTCCGGCTTTTAGTATTCCGGATTTTAGAGATTCCCCATTTTAGTATTCCGGGTTTTAGCATTCCCCATTCCCCGATTCCTTTCCCCGATTCCCCATTCCTTGTT